CCGCCCCCTGCCCCACCCCTCCCCCCGACACACACACGCATGCACACATCAAGTGCTGTACAAAGGGGAGACCACGGTGTGGCTTCAGCTACATAAGCACAACTTTTGGCAGCACTACTGTACATAAAACCCAACTGGTCTTTGTTTCGGTAATATTTTTTTTTTTTTTTAAAGAGAGCCCTTATTCGTGTTTGTATTGACACGGCGCCTCAAGACTGACCCACTGACACAATTTCACAAGTGGATGGGTTGGCGTTGGCGTGCTTGTTAGATTACTTTTCTCTTTGTCCGAGAACAAAGCATCAAAGGAAAACAAACAAACAAACAAACAAAAACAAATTCAGAGCAGAGTCCGTGTAACAGAAGCTGGAGGTGAAGACACAGAAAGCAGACGTGGATCCCTCACCCCCTCCCTCACCCCCGACTCCCCTTCTGAGAAACAAAAACACAAATCGAAACCAAGACGGAATGCCCACTTTTGTTTTCCAAAGAACATGCGTCGTTCTTGGAAAACTACACACACATACAACATGCTTTCACCTGAGGGCAGTGATGTGTGTCAGCCATTTTGGATCCATTTTTTTTGTTACAATTCATTGGTGCCACGGAGCCAAAAAACAGATGTGGGTTTTTATTCCTGCCGTCTGTAAACAAAGTTGGTGCATGTCGGTGCATGGGGCAGGATGTGGATGTGGGTTAATGACAGGGAACAGATGGAGAAGGTGGGGACGACAACTAGGATGTCCAACCAAATCCACGGCCTCTTTGTTTTGTAGCTGACTCTCCCCTACGTCGTCTAACTACTGAGTCTAACTAACTAACTCTACAGGGACCTGAGAAGTAAGTAAACTGCTTTGTACCTCTAAAAACCTCTCGACTACACAGCCTCAAAATTGACCAAGGAGAAGGGACACGAGACGGTGCCCTTGTGCGAAGTTAGCGAAGCCAAGTGGGCTAGCCTGCTAGCAGCAGCTGGTAAAGAATGCCCACTCAGGTCCATTTGTCTGAAACGTGACCATGAAAAATCTTTGTCTGGGAATTTGACGCCGATAATAAATAACGGGCACATTCACGATTTATCCGTGTCATCTGTGTGTGAAGCAACAACACATGGGACCTGGTTTTTTTCAGCAGACCCCGACCCCTTCTTTGAGCCACACATTTACAGTAACGTTGGCCGGACAGCCTCGTCTATTGGCTATTTCCTCGCCCTGAAGCGAAATCACTTCCCTTTTCGTCTCGCTGCCGGCACGGCGGCCGACAGGATGTGACTTTTTAAGGCGTGGTGTGGTCGATCTCATCTACTGTGGAGGGTACGGAGTCGGCAAACATGAGCGGGGGGGTTTTCCTCAGCGGCGGGTGACAAACGTGACTCTGATACAGAAGGCACTGCGGCTCTGTAAGAGGGTTGTAGGGAGGCGTCCTAACCTGCCGTAGCCTCTCTGGAACATAGGTACAAGCAGAGGGTTCAGGTTTGCATCCCCTCAACTGATTTTAAACAAACGTCAACAAAAATCCCCATCCTTGTTTTCAAAATGCTATGATCAGCTACTCAGCTCGGAGGCAACATGTTTCAGAACAGAAGGACAGACACAGGGAGGGCAAAGGAGCCGTCGAGGAGAGCGGCGGCTCATGAAGGACGCGGGATTTGTCGTGAAATGATGTCAAGTGACGTGTGCAAAAATGTCGTCTTCTATCTTCACATTTTTTCCAGTTTCACTAATCCGTGTTACAGTACCAAAGCATTTCGGTTTCCCCTCTAAAACAATGATCACGTGGATGCATTCGAGGTCTGCATAGAGTCAAAAACTTGTGAACTGGGGTTTCATTTTTCTGGCATCCGCAACTTGCGAAAAAACAGTGCAAGAGTTAGTTAGATCATGGACCGTGCCGTGAGCATCAACGGTGTGTGTGCAAAGGAAATAAACATCTGTAATAATCTTCTGTCTGTTGTCTATCTCTACTTTAACTACACAGTATATTTAAATGTATCTGTATGTTATCATCTATATATCTATATTTTATCATCTTTACCTTGAATTTTTTTTTAATAGTTCATAAGTTACTTTATAACAATAAGGATGAAAATAGAAGTGTTTCTGTCCTGTGACGCCTTCACTGTCCTCACTGTCACTCGGTGAAGAGCCGAGAGCGACAGAGAAAGAGAAGCTACATGATGGAGCAGAGTCGACACTGACGTGGGTTTTGGCAAAAGGAGGCTCTCAGCTATGCTACGACCTTACATGACTGGACTGGTGTTTTGGAGACTGTTCTCTGCTAATCCAGACCTGAGAGAAGGAGGTGGAGCTAGGAGGGGAGGGGCAGTGGTGGGGGTGGAGCTGGAGGGGTCAGGGAGGTCAGCGTTGGCACAGTCAGGCAGACGTGAGAATGGGCCGATAAAACTGACAGATATGGCATTTCTCAGGCTGCGACCCTGTCCAGGAAGAGGTTTCACTCCAGGTTGTGTACTGGTGGCTACTTCAGAGGGGGGAGAAGGCAGGCTGGGAAAATGTGTGCTGTTTACTGCCCCCTGGTGGCACCCTAAGACAAACATCACCCAATACTGTTTTTACCAATACTGTACTGTCCTGCTGGCCAAACTGTGTCAGCACAAACTGACAACCAGAGCCGAACAGAGGGATGTGATTGAGATTTGCAGTTGTGTTTTTTTTTTTTCAATTGCTCATGAGCTTAAACCATTTTTTCACAACAGAGATTCTTGAAAATCCTCAAAAAAACTCCTGGCTGTGAATGTAAATACTTGATCTTTGGGTTTGGGTTTGACAAAGAGAACTGAGCCCATAAATCATTGCAAGGTGGGAAGAATCCCTGTGATCTCCGCCTCCACCGTTCTGCAGAGTGACTTTAAAGTTGCGTTATAACACGCAACGCTGCAAAGTGAAATGTTCCCCGAGCCTCTGTGCCCCAGTGTTGTGAAAAGGCATCGGGAACCTGGTAAACTTCATCAAACAGGGGAACAGGAACACAAACCATGTAAACCAGATGGACATTAGCATAGCCGACGTGAACTCCAAATAACGCGACAACAAATCCACAGCAACACTATCAGTCAATCCATCAATCAATCAATCAGTCGATCAATCAGTCAGTCATTGTAGTCATTATTTTGCATTGACATTGATTTCATTTTTCATAAGACTATCATCATTAACAATAAATAAATCAAGTGTGGTAGAAGTCTGCCACTCTCAGCTCTCTCTCTCTCTGTTGTCATAACAACAGGAAACAGTAACGTGTTCCTGCAGAGTCTCCAGACTCTGAAAAGATGTAGAAAAGTAGCTTTGGAACTGCATCGGCGGGAGGAGCAGACAGGCATATTAGCCAAATGCCAGAGCCGTTTTTTTTTTTTTGGGGGGGTAGAGGGGGGCAAAAAGGGAAACCGAAGAAACACATTTAATATGTCAGAGAGAGACAGTCTGAAAGAAGAAAACCTCTTTTGTAAACCTAAAGAAGCAAAGTTACCTAAAAAGCCCCAGGTCCCACCCACACCAGTTACATGTTCTCTCTAGTATGTATTTAATCGATCATGCAGATTTCCATCAAATTTTGAACCTTGAAAAAGATCAAAGGAGGCTGAGCGAATGCAACAGAAGAACCAAGCTTCAATGTCTGAAGAAGAAAAAGAAGGAGAAGTAATAGAGAGAAGAAATACTGAAGAAGGTCTGTTTTTTTTTTCCATCCCATTCCTTTTTTTCCTCTCCTCCGCCCATTCAACCGTGTGATGTCATTTCCTGTCAGGTCTTCGTTAGCCGTGCGCCGAGACGTGCAAGCGAGGAGGCGGGGGTGGGGGCTTTCGCCAAGTGTCCAGCTCCCTGCTCGAGCTAACTGAGGTCACCCCACTCCCCTCTGTGCCCACTCCAACAGGAAGCGAGCCCGCACTGTGCCTTTCCCCTTTGTACCACCGCCAGCGCCAGACAGGAAGTGATGCCACACCTGTTCTGTCATTATTAAGTAAAGTCTTTAACAGTAAACAGAGATGATAAAACTCATCAAATATCAGCCAGCACTGGGATTGGCTGGTTTTTGCAGTATAGGCGGAGCTTCCCGGTTCTGTCCTTTGGAAAACAGTTCACGATAAAGAATTGGTTTTTCTCCTTTTTTTCTTTTCACAATTTTGTCACGTAAAGATTCATTTCATCTTCATTGTTCAAGTTTGATTTTCTGGAGGCATAGCTTGGCATGTAAGGGTTAGGGGCTCCTGGCTTTTTCTCTTTTATTGTTGTTGTAGTTTTTTTGTGTGTTTTTTTTTTTTTTTAATTTTAAACATACCCATTGAGCGGCAGAGTCAAAGCCGTAGACTCTGTGTTCCAGCTCTTATTTTAGCAAAATGGACGGCAGCAGATCCAAACGCAACAACCAATAAACTAACCAATCACATGCTCCTCCATGCTCCTCCCTCTTCTGTTGTCCCTCCCCGCTTGTCTTTCTTCCTCCTACGGCCTGGACTTGCTGGTCAAGAAGAGAGGAGTGGAAAGTGTTGTTCTGAGAAAGAGAGGCAGAAGTGAACTGTTCCTGAAAATCACCCTCTCCATCTCCGCTGTCTTTTTCTCACTTTTGTTTTTTTTTCATGTGCTGCTCTGTTAGTGATTCGAGTCTTACACAAAACATGTCTCAAGGCTACCGCAGCACCAGTGCAGCCCCCCCCCTCACCCTTTTCTCTCTTTGAATATCCGAGGGGGAAAAGGAGTAAAAGGGTTTTGAGAACTACCAGCTCCTTCCCATCAAACACTTCCACCGTTACTAAAAAAGTCTTCATCTCCAAGGCCAGAGCACGGGAGGCTGCTGCTGCTCCTCCTCTCCTGTCCATTGTCCCACGCTCCCTGTCGTCGCTAGCACCAGTCGTCTTCATCCGTCTCACTGTAAGGTTCGTGAAGGCCCTTTCGGGGCCCTCGTGTGTGAGGGGGGCGGTGGTGAGGGTGGGGAGGAGCCCCTGGCGGACCCCGCCGATGCGGGGACGGCGAGGATGAACGATAGCCATTGGGCACCCTCCGTGGATGCGGGTGCGGGGGCGGAGGGGGGCCGTGGCGGGCAGTCCTGGGTGAGCGTGGGTGCGGGTGAGGATTTCCCCCGTGGGGGTGTGGGTTTCCGTGGGACAAACTCTGCTCGTAGGCGGGCGGCTCGTGGTGCCGCTCGTATTCGTAATCGTGCTCATAGAAAGGCCCGTCGCCCTCCAGGCTGTCGCCGGGCGGGGGCCCGCTCCACCGGCCTCGATGAGGGGACCTGGGTGAGCCGTGGAGGGGCGAGCGCGGGGACTGGTGCCGCGGTGAGCGTGGAGAACCGTGACGGGATGAAGAACCCCCGTGGTGGGGAGAGGCCTGGCGAGACGGGGGCCGATGATGGTAGCCTCTGTCGTGATCTGGTGGGGAGAAGTGTCGAGGGGAGGGCGAGCGCAGGCGGCCCGGTCCTGGTGGACCGTAGCTGGGCTTGCGGACCGCAGGGGAGTAGGTGACGTGAGGACGAGGTACAGCTGGGGTTTGGGGCAGCTGACGTCGACCTCTCCGTGGAGTGCTGGTTCCCGACGTGGAGGGGACCGGGCTGCCGCTGACTGAACTACTGCCCTACAGCAAAATGTCAACAAGGAAAATCAAAACACACCACAGCAACAGAGAGCAGCAGAGAACAGAGGTGGAGAATAAAAAGATAGATTAGAAGGAACACATTCATCAGAGAGATGAGAGATCAGGACACAGAGATTAAAAACACAGCGATGAAGCAAAATATTTGACATGAAGAAGCCACAGAATCATAACAGAGGGTAAAAACATTGACAAAAAAAAAAAGAAGCCAAACAAAAAGAAAAGAGAGATTAAAGTAGGTAAGTAAGATGGGTATATTATTTTATAAGAAAAAAATTCAACCATTGCAGAAAAAACGAGTTAATACCAGAAGAGGGCAGATCGTCACAACTCTTTTTTTTTTTTTTGGAGACTTGGTTAACATTGGAATCACCTTTACCGTGTCCAACCAGCAGGGGTCGCCATAGCTGTAGCCAACATAGTGAATTGGCAACATACATGGAAAAACGTTGCGTTGCTAAAACATTTCAATAACAAGACAAAACTCAACAACTGTAATAATAACAACAGTTCAACTGTTACTACTGTTACTAACTGATTATTACTGATAGTTATTATATTAATAACCCTTTCTTTCTACTTTCTACTTGGCCTGTGTGGAGCCCACCTGTCTGTGTCCTCGCCCGTCCGGCCCCTCGCTGGGCGACCTGGACCAGTGGCGGTCGTGCGGATGCCTGTGCGGGTAGTCGTGGCGGTCGTGGCCGTATCGCTCCTTTTCCATGGAGCCGTGGTGATGGTGGTGGTGATGGTGGTGGCGACGGTCCTTGGTGCGGCCGCGGTCTCGCTCGCGCTCCTTCGGTGGGAGGTCACCTGACTGCGTGGTGGTGCTGAGGTCTGTGCCCAGTCCTAGCCAGGAGATGTCTCAGTTTACGTTTGAAACGGTGACAGTGATGTAATCACAGCATGGGCGGAGCTTAGAAGCTTAGGTACGGTGTTAGGTAAAACCATAGACAAATTTAAACTAGACTGAATCTACTCTCACCATCAGGAAAGTTTTAATTAACCGCTCCACATTCCTGTGGTCCAGTTATTCATTTCTGACGGCACGCTGCTCACCCGTGACCTCAGTGTGCGTCTCACCCGTGTCGGCGTCTGTGTATCTGGTCAGAGAGCGCTGTGACGTGCGATGACTCCTGTCCCAGTGTCTGCGCCCTCCCCCGTGTCTCCCCTCCTCAGACACCACCCTCTCCAGGGAGTAGTCGTCCAGCCTCACGCCACGACCCGAGCGCCCGTGGACCAGACTGGAGGTGGAGCGGCGCATCGGACTGGTGTCGGTGATGGTCTGTAAGGAAACAGGGAGGAGAGAGAAGGGGGGCAAAGAAAAATAATGGGGGTGAGGGGGAGAGAGAAAGAAGGGAGAAAACAGGTGAGGTCGAGTCGAACTCTGATTGGCCGAGTGGTTCGACCTAATGTCAGCGGAGAGGACACTGGGACAGATGATGAGAGACTACTGCATGTCCATCTATCGACGACTTGAGTCAAAAATCAGTGCCGAGCGGGGGGGGGAGGAGGGGGAGGGAGACTTTTTATTTTTTTACTACTGAGTGGCGACCTTCAGCCATCTGATCTGAATCCAAACCCTACATGGGTTCCTGGGAACTGTTCTGACTCATCTGGATCCCTGACAGTTCGGTTCTGTGTCACATGCGTCTCCACTGGAACGGATGAGAAACGAGGAACTCACAGGGAGAGCAGAGCAGAGCAGAGCAGAGGAGAGACAGAGAGCAAGCATGAGCCAAGCCTTCACAGACCATGCCTCACATGCACATGGCACTGGAGCCCCCCCCCCCTTCAGGACCCCACCCTACCTCCATTTTCTTAAACTTAATATCAATGATACAATATAAAAGTTTTTAACAATGAAAACTGAAGAATCGCATATTTGATGCATGTGATAAAATACATAATAAATGTAACTTGTAATGTAACTACAGGTCAAACTCCCAGCTGAAAACAATTTAAACTTAGATTATTTTTTTTCAGTGGTACTTTGTCCGTGGACCAACTTTATAAATGTGTTTCGATGCATCAAAAAACACAGAATTATTAAGTAAATGAAAACACACCTCATTTGAGTTCCACGCAGGGTCGCAACCCCACGGTTGAGAAACACTGACTTAGTTAAACTTAGTTAAAACAGCTGTGACCTCAGGAGTCTCTGTAGTTCAGTGTGACGTCACCCGGAGCGAAGCATGACATTCAGACAAACATGAGAGGAATCAGCGTCCAGAAGCTGCGTTCTTCTGATCGTCACAGAAGGCATGCATGTCCAGGTGATGGCCAGCAGCACAGTGACGTCACCGCTGCGTTCACGCACTCATGCAAACTAATGATTCGGTGCTGAATGTGGTGTGTGTGTGTGTCAACCGGCCTGACTTCTACATGTGTGGTGTGAACATTTCACCTGTCAGATGAAAGAAGGTGTATGAAGATGTAAACAGTGGCTCGAGCTTTGACAATAATAATAATAATAATAATAATAATAATAACTACGATGACGTGTGAGCTCCGCTGCGCCTTCAGTTTTCACCGCCCAGGCTCGAAAATGACTGAAGCAACACAACCTCATGGTGGCGCACAGCGTGTCCAACGTCACACCCACAGCCAGACTCAGTCCTGCCACGTCATGCATGACCGATGACATGCCGGCCCAGACCCTGACCCAGACCCAGACCCCCCCCGCTGAGACCTACGGTCCCTCCATCAGGCAGGTCCATGCTCATTCAAACAGAGTTGGACCGGTCTGCGGCGATGCAGCGGACTACAGGACACACGTGACCACATGTACCACGCAAACGGACACGCGCTCGGGAAGACAAGACTCCCACACACTGCATACAGAAGCGGGTCTTCAAGAAACGTGTGGCGTGGACAAACAGTAGGAGCCTCGAGACAGACGAGCAGACAGAGAAGAAGAAGAAGAAGAGAGAGAAGAAGAAGCTGGTGTAGAGATAGTTAACCTGACGTCACATGGTCGAATAAGGCTTCGGATGAGCCTGAAGAGCTCAGAATATAATGATAGAGAATAGACAGGAGTCGATCCAATACTCGGAATCAGAATCGGTCAAAATTTATTCAAAATTTCAGGATCGGATATCGAAAAAAAACAAAAAAACAACTGCAGTCAGTCAGTCCAATATGTAGGGACTTTAACCGACAACTGCAGTTTGTTGAAGTCACTTGAACATTTTTAATATGAACAAGGACGAGAGAAAACTGTGATGTTGGTCAGTATTAATATAATATACATTATTATAAAAAAATTCAATAATGTACATTATAAATGACATTCCAAATAAAACACCCCAAAAAATTTAATTTTTAAAAAAATTTGACTTCATTTTAAACTAGTGGTTAATTTAGCAAAAGATAATGGAAATAAAACTACTATGATCTAAAACCTTAGTAAAGAGAGACAGAGAGAGACAGAGAGAGAGAGAGAGAGGGAGAGAGAGAGAGGGAGGTACATACACTGAGGTTATTTCCACGGGGCTTGTGTCTCCTCCGCTGCAGAGCAGACAAACACAAAAATGACACGTAGAGCAGAGCAGCATGACGCGGGCGCACGCACACACACACACACGCACGCACACACCGCACATATAAAGTTGTCACCAGGGGCCGAAGAACACAGAGAGAAATGACGTGGATAAAAGAGACGAAAGTGATGAAAGAGTTCAGTTGTCAAGAAGAAAGAAAAGAAAAAAAAGGACATAAAATAATAATAACAGGAGGGACAGAGAGTGAGAGACAGTGAGAGGTAGAGAGAGAGAGTGGGGAAAAAACCCAAAGTTGATCGTTTCAGAAAACGGTGCACACACGGAAGCCAGGCGTGTGAGCGAGCGAGAGAGAATAAGAGACAGTGAGGGAGGCATTTCCAGTGTCAGCCAATCACACGCACGCACACGGTGAAACACACACACAAATACATACACACTTACCGAGACAGCATGAACTCTCTGTAAAGCAGAGCAGTGTTAGAAGACAATAAGTAACAATAGATATACGGACACACACTCACACACACACATATAAACACACACAACACACACGTACACACACTATTTGTTTATCAGGACACATCCTCATTATCAGTGAGGTTCATTTTTTTTGGGGGGGGGCGGGGGGATTCTACAATTTGAAAAGTAACCTCTGGTTGTTTTGACTTGTGTGAAGTTTGACATTTGTTTTTACTGGAAACCGATTTGATAAACGAGCTAAAAACGAATAGTCAAACCAGATAAACTGAACAAAATATGATTTAGTTTTCAGTGTTCAGACTTAGGTAGTTAAAAATTTGAATTAATTCATCGGCCACATATAGTTTTTTATTATTATTTATTTGATTTGTGTTGTTCAGACTCTGTGGTCTTGAGTTAGGCGGAGCTGTCCGTGGTGCTGATCGTACTTCAGCTGCATTCACCAGCTCAGAGCTGGTGTTTATCGGTGTTTAACGGTGTCTTTGTATAATTAATGTCCAACGTCCATAACAACACAAACATTATATTTATTTTATTTTTACTTTACTTTACGGTTCCTTTATTGTTGTTAGGTTCATACTCGGGTTTAATCTCGCATCACTTTTTGAAGCGATGGAAATCCAGTTGAGAAAACCCTTCTTTGATGCAGCAGTGAGGCTGAAACACCCACTGTGGCCCAGGTTTACACCTTCAGTAGTAATAATAATAATAATAATAATAATAATAATAATAATAATAATAATAATCGCAGTCTTCTCATGTACAGTAAACTCCAGAAACACTCTGCTGAGTGACCAACATACCAAAGTGAGAGCAACATGACGTGGATGCAGCGACAGGTCGGAGCGAGGAGACGTGTTGACGTGCATGAACGTGTGTAAACTGCAGCCAGAAGCTGTAGTACTGCAGTACTGTGGTACTGTAGTACTGTACATGAAACCATACTTCATCCTCCAAAAATATTTCCTTTGCGGGGGTTTATCTATAACGGCTGATCATTTAGGAAAGGGAATAAAATGGGATTATTAGAGTCGTAACATCTGTTGATAAGACATTATATGATGGATCAGGAATAAAACTGTTTATTTTTTAACATAAAAATTGAAAACCAATGGATTCTTTAGCATCAGTCTTCTTTACACGTCACTAGTTGTCACGACCGAATGCTGCGTTTCAAAGTTTTTCCTCAATGATATTTAGAACTTGTTTAAATGTTTAACCAGTTTCTTCCTGCCTTTAACGTTCCTTAGTGTTCATGAACTGTTGGCGTTTGGACATATTAAAGTTTGAAACGATATATATTTCAGACACACATCACGGTCCCTCTGTCTATTTTTGTTCAGTCTTTTTGGCCACAGCTTAAACAGGACAGACACACCAAGGATAGGATGGAGGCGGAGTCGGGGAGGATATATCGTATAAATGTATTGTTCTGGACATGGAGCTGGACTCACATCCAGAACAATCCGTTGGTCAGACCCACGACTCACCGACCGTTAAATTATCATGAGGCTGTAACTGCTCAGAGGGACGGAAGGAAGAGCAGTGGGTCTGGATGCAGGGGGTGGGGGAGGAGGGGTGGAGGGTGAGGTAAAAGGAAAAGAGGGTGGAGGAGGGTGAGGGTGAAGGTGAAGGTGAGGGAGAAATCTACACCACAGAGGTTCATCCTCCTGATGTCTGAGTCCAGGATCGTGTTACGTTAATTTGAGCTTCATGAGGAGGCTTAATGAGGAGGAGGAGGAGGGGGTGAACAAAGAATCTGAGGATGATGATGAAGATGGTGGGGGGGGGAGGGTGAAGGTGCTCACTTGGTTGTCTGTCGAGAGGCGGGGCATGGAGAGGGTCCGCCCATGCCCATCCACTGGGTGATAGGGCTCAGTGTCGGAGTACCCGTCCCGCCCCATCTCCCTCATCTCTACCGTCTGTAAAACACAATGAGAATGGGGCGTGACCACCGTCTGCTGGGGGAGGAGTCACTGACAGGGGGGAGGGGGCCTCCATGATAACGAACAACGAGTTGGGGTTTTTTTTCTACTTTTAAAAAAAATTCTTACGTCATTGTGGTGGTAAAAACTGTACAGTGTGGAGAAAAAAAAATCCCTCCTGTCTGATAAAAACCGTGGACAGGGTTGTTTGGGTGAAAGTCAATAAAAATAAACGGGTAATTACTGTAGTGACAGAATATAAAAAGAGGAAAATGACATGAAACAGAAGACACATTATGTTCATGAATAATTCACAATTAAATAAGTCACTATTATTTCTTTCATTTTTTATGTAAAAATAATATTGTAGATTTTTTTAATTAAAACATAAATATATTTAAAGCTATATTTGGATGTATGGTGTCTGCTTTTTGATACAGAAGTGTGGCAGGGGGAAGACTTTTTCACCCACCATGGTTGATCCAAGCTCCTTTACGGCAAAAACATTTTAACACAGCTTAAAAAAAATCCCCTTTGACTCTGTCAAAAAGTGAAATAGTGAACAGAGGTTTGGACTAAGACAAGTCCCTGAGTGATCACTGGTGAGAATAAAAGACAGCAGCGCTGAAAGGCAGTGAAAAGTCAGAGGTGACGTCTGAACAGTTTTCAGACAGCCGACCTGACCCGCTCCGGGTCAAAGTCATGAGTCACGACGCGAGTCAAAAGCCTGAGTCAAAAGCCTTGGTCGTACCTGCGGGTTGTGACGGTTGTCGTGAAGGTCGTCGGGGTACGGTCTGTCTGGGCTCCAGTTCCCCGTCTTCTGGAACATTTCCTGGGCTTTGGCCGTCACCCAGGACTGGCTCTCGGTCATGCCGCCCTCTGGAGGTCTGGATCACATGGATCACACATATATATAAGACACACATAACACCGGGAAACTTGAGATTCAGATCTTCAGGAAGAAAGAAAAAATCATATTGAACAGAGACGTCTGTGGAGGTCTGGATCACATGGATCACACACGTATATATATATATGACACACGTATCGCCAGGAAACTTGAGATTCAAATCTTCAGTAAGAAAAAAAATGGATATTGAAGAGAGACTTCTGAATAATTTAGAAATGAATCACTCGTCTGCAATCCTAACATTTTCTCCATCTCTGACAGAGACAGAGTAAAAACACACAAGGTCATTGATGCTGCAGAACCCCCCCTCCCTCCCTCCTCTGGTTCTACTCACATGCTGTTGATGTTGTCTGGCTGGGTGATGGGGAGGCCATTGACTCCCTGACCTTCCTGACCTCCCTGACCTCCCTGATCGTCGGTGCCGCCCCCCTCCGGCGGCTCCATGCGCTCAAACATTAATGGCGTTCGGTTCTGCGTGAGATACACCACATGGCCTGCAGGCTTGCATCAGGCACACTCCAACACTGGATGCACTCGCAGCATGAACCCACAAGAGGGCGCCTTACACAGTACGCCTCATAAAGTTCTTTTTAGTCTTTTAAGCACAATGACTGTATATATGTTTATATATATTTACCTTTTGACAGAAGAAACTAAGAGTGCGACGTATAGTCCGGGAAATGTGGTGATAACAAGTTGTGCAGGAGTGCAAGTTTTAAGAGACAGTGTTTGGAAGGTGAGGGTTAGTAATAGTCAAGAGAAAAGAACCACTGTGAGCAAACACAAAAATAAAATCTTGGGTGTCATGCTTACAAAAAAAAACAGGTTAAGGTGGGAGAGAAAAAGAGTCAAAAAGGAGGAGGAGGAGAGAGAAAAGGATTCTGGGACTTTCTTTGAGAGACTTCTACCTGTTCCTCACGCAGCGCCTGCAGCTTTTTGGTCTTGCTCTGACGGTAGTATTCCATGATCATCATGGCGGCGTAGATTTTGCCAACCGTCAGGTCTGTGGCTGCTGAGAAAATGACAAGTTACCCTGCAAGATTAGACCCGGACGGATGGGACCCTGAGCCGTGGGGGGATGGGGGTGGGGGAGACAAGACAACACAATCCACAGACAGAAAAATTCAACAGTGCATGCAGAGTGCACCGGCAGGAGAGAGCCAGGCCTGATCCACGTCGGTCGAAGGTCGAGAAGTCGACCGGAGCCACTGACTGTGTTTTTAGTAGGAACGCAGTCGTAGCCATGCAGTACTGCAGTACAGTGGTCTCCAAATACATCCCTGAACATGCAGGAGTAGACAAGTGTGTTCTTCCTGTTTGATGCTGGACTATAAAGCTGAGTGTTTCAGTGACGCAGTAAAGAAGTTGGACCGCTCTGAAAGCTGTGGTCACTGAGGTCCGACTCATCAAACTGAAGAGATTTTCAGCTGCAGAAAAAAACAAAAAACTGTCCTGCTCATTCTCTCCATGTCTATTTAGCCACATTTCTCACTGTTTATGTAGAATCTATGGAGTTCCTCAGACATCATTATGACATAATAATAATTCTAAAAGATTTTCACCAAAGGTTTGGTTAAAAAAAGTATAAAGTATCTCATATCTTATCATAAAAATCTTAAGAGTGTGGCAAAAAAAAAGAAGAAAAAAAGATCTTCCACCTCTGACGGAGAGCTGAGCTCACTTGCTAGTGCACGACACATTTATATAAGACAACACTGTACAGTTATAAACACAACAAGAGCCAGTAGTCTTTTCACAGGCAGATGCTGTATCTACATCTGGTCCATAAACATTCGGAGTTCTTCAGTCTCATCCAAGCCCGTACCAGGGATTGAATATCGGATTTTAATGTGAAGGCTGAGGATGAGGCAGCCACCTCACTGAGAACCGCAGAAGACTAACAGCAGCTCAATCTTTTTCCAAAAACTCCAGACATTTATCCCCAGAGTTTGGATGAAACACGTAAACATTTAGAATCAGAAAAATCATTGAGCTTGGTTTTGGTCGCAGCGCAGCAGACGCTGACGTCGCTGAAACGGTGCGGGTTTATCAAAGTGGCGTGGCTACGAGTCCTCCAGCATTAAAAGTGATATCAGCGAGTGATAAGATATGACGACTCATATCTTACGTCTTTAGTCTACCTCCAGTTGATGAGACGTGACGGAGCAAATCTCTCGTCTCACAACTGTCATGCATGTGGGCAACATTCTCAAACGAGTGTTAACCATGCAGAATTGTAATTGTTCAATTTGGATCTAAGGATCAAAATAGTTATAATGATATAAATTAGATTAGGATTAGTGATTAAAAAAAATCAGTTTGGGTAAAAAAAAAAACACTTTTCAATTTGGAATTTGAGCTGATTACTTCTGTAGTGAAAAGACTTCTATAGAGGATCTTCTATAGCAGGCACCTCCTGATACAAACTGTGTCAGTTTGGGTAAACATGTGTGTGTGTGTGTTCATGTATGTGTGTGTTTGTGCTTTCACTTCTATTTCCAGGACTATTTAGGAATAAAGAATAAAAAAAGTAATGAGTTCAGGTGTGTTTTCATTTTACTTTTATATTAAACTTTAAAATGAAAATCAAAGAAAGGCGTTCTGTTCCTGACCTGGTCTAGAAGGTACACTAAAGGTCAGGTGAGGTCACGTTGACTGGTACTGTTTTCTTTTATCTATTCTTCTCATTCATCCGTCATCTCTTCTAATGCAGATTTTCTCTCTCCTTTTTTTCTACCTCCACTTTCTAATCACAGATTACAACGTCATCTGCAAACATGTTGACCCAAATGAACTTACATTTTAATTTGATTATGATTTTAAACAGTAAACGGAGTAGCTGATAATTCCTCCACTTCTTTGAACCCATCTGCCACTCAAACTGCACCCTTTTAATTGTAACTTTTTCCTCATTCAGGTCCTTCAAACCGTTGTGTTTTTCTCTATCTTTGACAAACTGTTCCCTAATTTGAGGTGACGTTCTCTGACTTCATAAAATTGCGCTATGTTTTGTTATAAAATTGACAAACTACTAGCTGCAAAAAAACCCAAACTTTTATGTTACTCGTGTATGTGTGTGTGTGTGTGTGTGTGTGTGTTGTGGTGTATGTCATGCAGTCGTCTGATCAGGAGATGCTAAGCAGTCAATGACACTGACCGGTAGAAGCTGTCCTCTTGGTGAGTTGGTGGTCGGACACGTACAAACCAGCATTTGCAGATTCCCTCCTACTTACCCTTGTGCGGCGTTACCAGCAGGTCCAGCGTCTTCTGAGACAAGTTTGGCCAAATCGCCATCATCTCCTTCCTCAGCTCTGCGTCCATCTGGTGCTTGTCTGCACCTCCTGGACAACGGGAGGGACCGCGACCCGGAGCGACCACCGCCACACAAACATCAGACCATTTAGACAGCGATTTAAAAAAAAAAAAAAAAAAAAAAAGGGTAAAACGTTTCACACCAATGAACACAGAGCAACCAGGCAGAGACAACACAGAGCAACCAGGCACAGACAAAAGAAAAAAAAAAGAAAAAGAAATATATATTTATACATTTGGACACACACACATACACACAAAACAAAACAGAGTATTAGTATTAGTATTTTGAGAAATACCAGCTCTAGTTGAAAGACAATGTTGCCACTGATTCGTCAATACTTAAATCGACAACTTATTTAAATCATAAACGTGAGAATGTTTTACTTAGAAAAGGCCGGTGATCATCGCCATAGTAACCGTGTTCATTATTGTTTAATAGAAATTATAATGTGGATAAAAAAAATATGAAAAAAAGTAAAAGCACAGTCTAAAATTATGAGAATGTTTCCAGTCAAATCACGGATCGCAGCATTTTTTTTTTTTAATTTCAAGGCCACCCTTTTTGTGTGTGACACAAACGTCAGCGTCCTAACCGCTGAGCTAGCTGCTCCTAGCTGTCATGCCGTATTGTTTGGGGAAAAAAGGAAAGGAATGAAAGGACAGAAAGGAAAGTGGAGGAGGTTTGTCAAAGTTAGGGGGCGAGAGATCTCTGAGGTCATACCCTTGGCGATCTTTATATCCAGTGCAGTCCTGATAAGAGCCATGAGGGTGGAGTTAAAATGCACTGTGTTGTCATCGGCGACGGGCAGATCCATACGCAGCAGCCTCTGTGGAGAGTCAGTCAGGATGAGAGGATGAGACGGACAAGTCCAGGAAGGAGACAGGAAGGACAGCCTGAACCTCCAGGAAAGGGGAGCAGATTTGGTGGGGGGGTGGGGGTGAGAGGTCTGCAGGGGTTGAGAGAGCTCCATAGACAACGGCCAATTAGAGTTGGACTTGACTTTTCGATGCCTGTATTCCAGGTTGTGGGTAAATTTCAGTTGTCAAGGAATTGAGGTTATCAGGATTTAGGGTTGTGTCTTTGTTCTCTGATGAACGTTAGCGTCATTTAAGTCCCTGCGTCTCCTGTTTGTCCAGTGATACTCTACATGACAGCACAGCTAACCAATGAGGGCCATCTGCTGCTAAGCAACTGTGCGAGCTCAGAACCACGAGGGAGAACAATCAGAGCCCGATTGGCCTCTGACCCAACCTGTGCCCATGTTCCCTAAATGTGTGAATGCATTAGGGCATTTACACATGTTAGTGGTCGTACAAACACATATATAAATATAAAACGATACGCATACATCCAGCCCCTAACTACCCCCTGACACCCCCATACATACTAACACAAGACTGTTTGCACAGACTGCAATTAAGGGGCACTTAATTGAAGTCGTTTGGAGACAGAATAAGTGGGGAACGGGGGAACGATCGTAGTATCACTGGTGAAAGTCTGCTTGCATTTCAGGAGACTGCTGGTTTTTTAAAATAACCTAGGGCATTAGCTATAGAGCTCCCCCTGCCTGTTGGGAGGTTCTCTGACTTTTACATTTCTATTTAACAGGTAAAAGAGATGGAAAAACCGAAGGGTAGAAAAAGCAAGCGTGGCGCCACCTGGAGCCGCTTGGCGTCTCTACCCCGGTATCCATCAGATTTACCGACGAACATGAGCGTTGGGCACTCACGATGGGCACGGACGGCAGATGGCGGTGGGGTTGTGTGCATGCTTGTGTGCTCTGTGTTCCTGAGTGTGTGCGAGTGTCGGGCATGCCCCGAGCCACGGGCGTGGCAGGCAGAGGGCATCGGCCGACATCCACAGCGCTCGGCAGCAGTCAGGCACAGGCGGGCGGAGCTCGATGTGGCCAGTAGCCATGCGAGGAGAGCACAAGGACTGCATGCAACGCCACACAACATGCCCCCCCTAGTGGAGAAAAACAACCCCCTCACACAGAGCATGCATCATGCCTTTACCTCACTGACAAGATCTAGAAGCCCCGTTTGTTGCCCCCACCAACCCAGCCTTTTACCTCCCTCACCCAGTCCTTTGGTCAAAAACCACTTTTCACAATACAAGCAGCCGTGCATCCGCGCAAAGAGAGTATCCTCAGTCTAACTGGATTACTGCTACTGACAGGTATACTCTGGGTGTTTTTTATTTTCAGATTTATCATTCTCTTCTTTGAAATCAGACTGAACAATGATGGAAATGTTTTTTTTTTTATCAAGTCAAGATCTCTCTCAATGCCAAACGGTTGCAGTGTTTTTAGGGGATTTAGAGAGTAGTAGAGTTGTTCCTGAAAGAAGAAAAAAATCATAGAGAAGATCAAAAAGAGGCGACTGGTGTTCTTCACACTGTGTCTTTGTTTTGGACCAACCAGTAGTAGTCAAACTTTGTTTTGGACCAACCAGTAGTAGTCGAAGAAATAGTGGTAGTAGTAGTAGTAATAGTAGTAGTAGTAGTAGTAGTAGTAGTAGTAGTAGGGATGGTTGGTTTTGTAGAGATAGGAAAGAGGGACACATGGAAAGGGACAGAAGTTTCGTTGACGTTAAGCTTTGGTCATGAGATGCAGTTACAGATAAAAAGGGAAATGAGGGAGAGGGAGGAGTTTGTTAAAAGACTGAAAGAGTTATTTGAAAGAAGAAAAAAAAATCAAAATATTGTCTCAGTGAGAAGTGACAAAGCAAAAACTCGTCGTGTGTGTAGATTAAAAGAGAAGAAGAAGAGGTCACAGAACGAGACAGTAGATAAAGACGAGGACTGAAAACGACACTGACATCAGTTTACAGAGAGCTTTAGTCCCAAACCAAACACCATTTATCAGTCTAACACTGTTTCCTTGGTATCATGTGTGCGTGGTGGCGGGGGGGGGGGGGGGGGGGGGCAGAGGGGGGGGGTTACCATGAAGAGTGGTCAAAAACTGTTGAGGAAAACTGTTCTGTGCTGTGACAACTGTGACAGACTGAACGTCAGCGAAGATCATTTAACAGACTTTCCTCTTCATTTTCTTAAACTCCAGACACTGAAGTGTGTGTGATGCCAAGACAGGATGACAGTTTGGAGGAAAGGAGGAAGTGTACGAGCAAGAGAAGAAGAACGGAGGAGGAGAGGAGACAGAGCAGACTGTACTGAACGGAGAAATGAACGCAGATGAACCTGTTCATCAGGTGAAGAGTCAGAAGGACAGAAGAGAAGAAGATTTGATGAAAGACATGGGAAGACAGCAGCCAAAGAAATAAGAACTGACAGGAGATTAGAGCTGGAGTGGATCTAAATTAACACAGTGTCTATTATTTATTTAACTTTTATTTATTCATTATTTATTCACACAAGGACGGGCCGGCTTTGTGGGCTCACTGTCCAAAATGAGGTTCAGTATTGGTTGGACAAAATATTATGAATAAAATAAACAATTAAACCTAAACTTTCAAAGCAAATTTGGCACATTTGATGTTCGTCGCCATCTAGTGGCAATAGCGGAAATTACATTGTAATGCATGCCGATTCATTGTAATGCATGATAGATGCCAGTTTTTACCAGTGTTTGTCTGGTCAGATTAAAAACCCATATCTGCCATATCTGGCCCACGGGCCGTAGTTTGCCCAGATCTGATTTAACAAAACATTTTACCGAATTTTGTTGCAATTTTCAGTCTTTAAGACGTATTCCTGGATGCCAACAAAAAGCATCCTGACTGTGATCAAGTCGACTGACTTTTGACAGACTTTTCTTCCTTATTTATTTAAAGTTCATGTTGGCAAAGCATCCTGACTGTGATCAAGTCGACAGACTTTTCATTTATTTAATGTTCAGGTTGGTTAATCTAAATTAATATTTGTTTTGTTAACTCTGGGTGTCAGAAAGAAAAAAGAAAAAGACACAGGGAAATGGACAGAGTGGACAGACAAGGAGAGAATGTCGAAATGCTAGACGCATGTCTTTATCCTGGTGGTCTAAAGCAAAACTTTTAAAAGACTTTTAAAGTTTAAAACCAAACATCGTCTACCCAAAAATCCTCTTGAAAAAAAGACTCCAAAACAGGACCAGAAATTTCCCTCTTGTTTTTGTGCAGAGATTGCACATGTGGCCGTGTGTGTGTCTGTGCACTACAGCGCCATCCACAGGAATAAGAGACTCAGAGGACTGAAGACACACACCTTTGCCGTTCCTTCTGTACCTGCATCGTTAGCAAATAGTTGCTCTGTGTCTTAAAAACATCATTGTTTTTGTCAGTGATCTTACAGTGAGTATGAATGGTTTGTTGTACAACATGAAGTACTATTATCATTTAGAACATGAAGTTTGTTTCTCTACAAGTATTTGAAAGATATAATTTATAGAATGATGCAAATGTAATTTAATGTAAAAAAATATATTTTTCAAACAATCCTTTAAAGATGGATTTTATCTAGAATTGTTGGTCCGCTCATATTTTTTTTTCCATATGTGTGTCTGTTCCCGTGTGTGTTCATGTGTGTGTGTGTGTGTGTTTGCGTCCGTGCAGGTTGCAGAGGGACTGGCAAAGCCTCCCCTGTTCTCTCACCCCTGTGGCCTGACAGGAGGCAGGAAGAAAACGAAAAGAAAAGAAAAGAAAAAAAGACTGACTACCACTTCACTATCACTTCACTTCACTGCACGATGACAAGAAAAGGCCCCGTCCCTCCGTCCCCCGGGTCGGAGAGAGAGAGAGAGAGAGGAGAGGACGCTCACCACCACCACAACCACCACTGACAGACAATGAGGAGAACACTGCAGGGACGAGGGGGGAGCGGGGGGTGAAGGAGGGGGAGGTGGAGGGGGAGAGGTGTCTTTGTGACGGATGAGAAGAAGGAAGTAAAGAATATGGGAAGGTGAGAGAACCCAGGTTCTCCCCCCCCAGTGATGGAGAGGAGTGGGGGAGTTGGAGATGAAGATGAGGAGGAGGAGGAGGTGATGGGAGAGTACAGGAGAGAAATGGAAGGGACGGGGTTGGTCGTGGTGGAGGATAAAGATGGGGGGCGAGTCTACCTTATAGGCGACCCGGGCGGGACACCTCTTCCCAAGGCCTAGCGGCGGACACATGTGTCTTAGCATCTGATACATGTCTGTGTAACTGATCCGGCCGCTGGGTTGGCCACAAACAAACAAACACACACACACACATACCCCACA